CATTTGTGGGATGCATTTGTATGACACATTAAACAGGGAAAAATATTTCGTTGGCGAGTTGCCGCAGTGGCGAGTCGTCCGTTGGCGAGTTGTCGCATTGGCGAATTGTCGCGGTGGCGAGTTGTCCCGTTGGTGAGTTGTCGCGTTGGTGAGTTGTCCCGTTGCCGAGTCAGTCGGTGGCGAGTGGTCCGGTGGCGAGTCGCCCTTGGCGAGTTGACCGTGTCCCTCATAGGATTATTTATCTGTATTGATTTTGAAAGAACACAGAAGAGGAGAGAAACGTTTTGATTTGTTTTGAGAAAAATTATCCACAAGCCTAGATCTAAATTGCATAAATAATGAAAAAAAAAAATAATTTAGCACATCTTGGTCCTCCGAATGGGGTGCTCTGAGCTATAGCCCAGTTAGCCCATTTATAACTTGGGGCCTCTACACGAGGTGGCAGGTAAGGTTACAGCTGAAGTAATGAACCTCATCTTTGCCTCATGCAGCACAAGCAACCTATGTATCAGTTTTCTTAAAACTTTGTGCTACTTCCGTTCAGATTAGTATACATAAAATAGATGCCATATCAACTGGGTTATATTTTATATACTAAGTACCTACCTACAGAATGATGAATTACCTACTAAAATCAGTGACTGTTCCGCACAACAGTTTTAAGAAAATATATACGTACAAGTACATGGCGTTTCTCCTGAGGCGCTGACATTGAATTTATAACTATCTATAAATTCAATGGCGCTGATGTATGCCGGACAGGCCTCTTGAGATGTAAATCCATTTGTTGCCATATTCAAACAACTCCATGCATCCCATATTGCTGAGCATGGATATTCCGAACCTAAATGATAGTACCTAATAAGTAATATCGTACGGTGACAATGTAATGCATTTTAATAAAACTTGGGAAGTGATCGCTATAATTACCGGAGTGATGTCCATAGTTGGTTAACGTTTCATACCTTGTATCTGCACCAACATGTTACACATTTTGAAAGCACTAACACCCACACTCAATTCTACTAGTGCTTTATACAGCACCAGTGTGAGGTGTGACCCACCTTCTTGTGATTTTCTGTATGTGTATGTCTATGTAATAGGTACAATTTGACATTTTCTAAACAGGTCCAGCTGGGATGTTAAGGGGGTAATGGAGGTAAATAGCACCCCCAGGAATCGTGTAGGACTAAAAGAAACATCCCTTTAAAATAAACCAACGAACCAGAATGATTTGTTTGCAAACCACATTCTGAAAATTCCTAACGTTGGTTTTTCAAATTTGTTTCCCAGCAGTAACTATATAACGCATAGAAAAGGTTTTATCTAGGTTTTCGTGTGTGCCTTTACCAATTCTGCAAAAATGCAAACAGCTACCAGAACTTATTAAAAACAAGTACAAATTGTGCACAACCCTTGTGCAGGTAAAGCGCATTTTTTTAAACACCCCTACGAAATTTCTTCCATAAATAAGAAAGTTGGCACTGCGCATGCGCAAAACCAACCAAGGGTAGAACATGTGTTTACCCCCCCCATTTTTTTTAATTCTTAAAAAATGCGCTAAAAAAATCGTTGATTCCATCACTTCATACGCGGCGGAATAATTTCCCTTTTGTAGCAAAGAAAAATATAACATCGGCACGTTTAATTGATTTGTCCTTCATTGGATACTGCAATAATGTTTTTCGTGACGATAATTCGCCTGTGAAACCGCTCAAATATTTTACCGTCTTTTCTTTACAATAAACATTTTGTTTGGCAAGAATAAAAAACTGACACGTTCGAATTAATTTACTTCTAGACGTTGGTTCATTTAACTGTAAACATATGGAACTCGCGTTAAACTTCCGTTTCAAAAAAAATGCCCGCAATCCGAACCTGCTTCTCTGATTCCCACAAGAAAAAACTTTCAATTTGACAAAGCTCGAAAGAGGCGAAAATACGTGTTTAGTTCTTGATAGTTCCCCATTCTTCTAAAACTCCCGCAGAAAGTCTCTCGGAGTACAAATTTACTTTTTTGCTAAACACTGCTTGCACTGATGGTAACGCAAATCCGAAAGAATGAAATCCTACTAAGGACCACGCAATGGTCGCATCGGCGGTTCAAATGCAAATTAATGCAAAATCTTCTAGAATAATTAGTTACTGATTAATCAATCGCCTTTATCAAGACGACTTGTACTGATTAAGTAAACCTTTTTTGTTAACAGCAAATCTGATTGGCTGTACCTACCCCCCGAAATGGACGACTCTTGGCTGTACCTATACCCACGCTCCGAATTGTGCTGAATTGCACCTTTACAAATTTACAATGGGTACGATAAACACCTAGCTACGTACTATTTGGTCAGCTATTTATACAACAAAAGGGCCGGTTGCACAAAGACAGTTTAAACCTAGCTTGGAATTAACCAGTGGATTACGGTCTAGGATTGGTTGAAATTTGACGTTTTGTCAAATTTCCACTAATCATATGTCTTAATGCATTGCGTTAGTTTAAACCAAGTTTAAACTGCGTTCGTGCAACCGGCCCTAAGACTTCCTAAAGCTATTATGAGAACGATACTTTCTAGAATTCAAATAAGTAAAAAAAAAACGAAAGTTAATTTCATCACATTACTTTTGGACTTTCTTATTTATGGAGATATTTTTTTGAAATTTTAACTAAAGATTCTTCTAGTAAAGGCAAACGTATCGCATATTTTAAACATCACGTGTGCGCACTCTGCGCAATGCTTTGTTTCTTATTTATAAGAATATTTATGCTATAACTTATTTTCCTTTGTTATAGTACTATTCTGGTATCAACAGCTTTGCAGAACCAAAGAGTACCCCTCTTTGGAGAACGATTGAAACGTCCCTGGGTGCCTTGATTTCGTGTTATCCCCAGGCGGAGAAACGGTTTCAAGTAGTGAATTTACTTTGTCTTGACCTGCACGGTACGCAAAGAGCTGATGGCAGTTAATATGAAGAAACGATTTGTCATAGACGTGAAATCATGGTGTCTCCTTGTTTTTGTGTAGTTTGTAACGAACAAACGCCAAAAATATTATTACTTACGAATACAAGATTCTGCAACTAAAATATCCTGCATTGTAACGTTTTTAGGCAGTAGTATTCTTTCAGTGCGTAAAACCTGTTCCCTGAGAAAGATCGCTGCCTTGTGGATGATATGGTTGCGAAAAGTCCATCATAAATTCATATTTCTATTCCGGATTTTGGCGAAATATCTAAGCGTCTAAATTCAACAAAAAGAAGACGGCATACCGTGAAGATCATATACAAGTGTTCAGGAAGTAAGTGCCATTTGCTTTCTATTTTGGTCTGTCTTGTTTGATGAACATTAAATGTCTTTTTGGCAGATTGAATTTAGGTAGTGTTGGCGAAAGGTACGCTTTAATTTTACATTTAAGGTATTTGTAATTGCTTTTATTTGTTACTCAGTTGTAAACGTTGATTAACAAGACAAAACGCAAACGGGTAAACGTCATCTTTAAACGCTACTGACTTGTAAAACTGACAGCTTGTAACAATTTTAGGAAATTTATTAAAACGTAATGTTACGCCTATGTTTGTAAAGATTGAATTTATCGAGCTTTTGGCGCGAGGATTTCCCAATGCATAGAATCAATCGATTTTAAGAGAGCGGAAAGTAAAGTCCTATTCAGGCGCTCTCCAGATATCAAACATTTATAGACCGTTTGTTCAGTCTTTTTTTATAATTTAAAAATTCAGCTTTTGAGCTATTTTTTTTGGCAAAGAAGGGTTTGAAACCGTAAGTTCATTTTCATTTTATTTCAATAATTAATTATGGTAATATTTTAGCTTCTTTGTTCTGGTTATTGTTAATTGTTATAATTATAACTACCTCATCGTAATATACCGAGCATCCAGACCAATCGCCTCGCCAGTGCAAATCAAGGACGTTTTACCTAACCATCCACCCAGAGCCGGACCAACAGGAAGAAGACCAGCCACTAACAACGGCAAGTAGCCTAATTAAACTTACGAGTAGCAAGTTAACAGCAATTAAATAAAGAAAGTTAGCCGGTGCATGTGTGTACATTATTTTATCTTCGATATCAGAACAGTTTTATTGTTCATTTCCTTTTTGATATCGAAATACGGCACAAGCTGACGTGTAAAAATTTTACAAGTTAGTAATCTAGTAATTTCATTGGCCAGAATTAATGCGAAGTCTGTATGGATAACATGATATTTTAGACATTTCTTTGAGATCAATTTAAGAACTAATTATTTACGTTTACTGTTGTTTACAAATGAGTAACAAATAAAATATTGTACATTATACGCCAGGTAATAGTATATTACGCACCGAGTGCGAAAGTAGGTTATTTTTCGAAGAATTTTAATCACCCGAGGCGCGCAGCACCGAGGGTGATTATATTCTAAGAAAAATAACCTTTCGTCGAGGTTCGTATACGATTTTATTCACGATCATCATTATAATCATTCCATTATCAAAAATATAATAATTCACTAAATTTATACGTTTTATATTAATCTTCTGCGCCATCTGCAATATTATTGCCCTACATAAAATGTTGTCGGTAATACAGATTTGGAAATTTACCTAATTAATATTCATATTAATTTAACATGTATGTTAAAAAATGGCCCATACTAAAGAATTTCAATGTACATCCCCTCAAATAAGGGAAATTGAGTGTAGTAAAAAATTTACTCCCCAAATGAATTTTTGAAGTGAATGAACAATGGTGGGCAGGAAAGGGTATAGGTAAAACTTAATGTTTTACTTGCTTATTTTAATGAGGTAAAGGTAAAGAAATCATCCACATTATGAACGACCAAATAATGTTGTGATCCACATTCAAACCTAATGCGGTAATGCCTAATGACCATGTCAGTTTTATTATTCTAAAATGTACCTACAGCGATCTTTTGTGATTACAGATTTAGACTGGGTTACAATATTAGTATTATAATCTGTGCAGATGTCAATAACGAAAGATTTATTCTCCAGATCCAATCAGGTAGTCACTAAACACCTGTTCCAATACGATAGCCCTAAAAAATAGCATTATCTATTTCTAAAATGTGACAAACTACATTTAATTACCGGACATTGTTTTTGGCATATGATCGCTACAATATTAGCAAGTGCCAGTGGAGTTCTTCAACTTAAAACAGTTCGGTGGCTGTAGATTGGCTGCACTAGCAGGAGGTTTCGTCATCAATTCAGTGGCCCATTCGCTTTACGGGCACGCGAAAATAACAAAGTATGGCAGTATCCTCTTCAGGTAGTGCTAAGACGTCTCCGATATGCAACATTTATGATGCCATAAATTGCCATCCCTTGCTCTTCTCATGGGTCGCAAGCGCAACCCAAGGTTTCCATGTCTTATAGACAAGAATTGAACTTTTCCACCCAGAAATTTAAACAGTAATGGGCTCTCTAAAGTAACAATCAATTTTATTAAACTCAAGTTCGAGTTTTATATACTTACCGATCCTTTAATAATTAACGGTTTCTTTTTGCTTTTGTATTTACTTAACCATTTAGCACCGCGCTCGTTTAGTTTTAGGTTACGTGAAACTATCATTTCCCGTAATCTGGCTAAATCACAACTCCTACTTGTGTTTACTTCGGTACGCATTTACTTATTTCACTTTTCGCGTTTGGTCGTTCATTTGCAATTTACAAAAAAAAGCACAGAACTTAAAATAATCCATATTACTCATAATAAGAATAAGAATTGTTTTTAAAATGTGGTTTTGAACAAATTGCATCTAAATCAGCTGTCATTGTGTCAGACAGTTACGATGAGAGCGCCATCCATTAGGATATTAGTAACTAAATCGAGGTAGGTAATGAATATTACTAACCTCGAATCGAACATTACTAACCTCGAGAATCTACTTTCCTCCCTCATGGAAAAATAAGTGTTGTAAAACACAACTTCCTTATCCTTCAAAATGACAATTATGAGACTGATTACAATATGATCGTGAATAATAGTTTTTATTCACAATCGGTTAGTAATAAGAGTCATTCGTCTCATTTAAGAAGTTTGAAAGTCGGCCGTAACTAGATTATATTTATTACGAAGTTCGAAAGTATGAACTTCCGCGCTAAGGAAGGGAAGTAATAGCTACTAATATCAGTCACAGATGGCGCACTAGATGAGATGGAGTTTTGAATCTCTGTTGCACCGTGACTCTCTTAGTGACCTCCGCACTGCGCAACTGTAAACACGCTAGAATTTGAATTTGCGTTAAACTGTTTAAGGGTAAGGGGTAAAGTACGAGTAAAAAATATACTCGTAATGGTAATATCACGGCCCTATGCTGTATCACTATCGTTAAGAATAACGATATCGTTATGCGGCGTTACCATAATTTTTTAAAAATCGGTATGCTATATCACTCATAGCAAGAGTGGGATAACGACTATCGTAATTCTCTATCGTTATTTTGCAAACATAACCAGAGAAACTTAACGGCAGGGTTCATGCTATCCGTTTGGCCGAGGCCTACGATACTTACAGGCCGGAGCGCTCGAAAAAGTCACGTGATGTTAGGAGTCATATGAAATACATTACGGCTTATGGAAAATCCGTGCGCGGCTCCACTATTTATTTTTTTACTCCGGATCCGTTCAACATAGAGCCACGAAATTTCAATGAGAGCTTGTCAATAGTACACACAATCAAATTATGGTGTTCGTTAATTTTTAATAACACTAAAAATAATTAATTTTTAGGTTTAAAGTATTGAAGATAAAACGATGTTAGTAAATCCGCGTTTTTCTATCTTTACATCATCATATTTCTTTTTCTAGGAACTATATCATTATAATCCTTTCGGTGTCTTAAACTAGAATGATATGCGCCTCCAATTATGCGTATATGATGCCTAATCTGATATTAGTATAGTTTTAACAGGCCCTACAAAATCGCGCATTTATTATTCGCGCAGAGAAAAATTCAACATGCGAGAAACTTTTTTGTTATTACTATAATTGTATCACATATATCGAATGAATTGTGGCCAAAGGACACAAAAATGTTCTTCAGAAGGAATTTTTAAGAAATGGTTTCTTGTTTCCTTTTTTTCAGCAGCTGAAGTAAATAGCGCGATTTCAAGAATAAGTGAACGCGCAAAGGAATTATTATGTTTCAAATAATTGTTAGTAATCCATTTTCAAATTGTGTTTGTGAGATTCAAGAGGAGTATTTTGCATCAAAGATTTTGTTTCGTCGTTTTTTTTTTTTTTTTTTTTGTTGTGCCTGTAAGTATCGTAGGCCTCGGTTTGGCGCGTAACGGTCCTGTCATCGATTCGTTCGGGGTTTAAGCGGATTTTAAAGAGAAAGAAAATGAATAATTTTCAAGGATTTTTGCAAGTAGCTTTGTTCGGGCAAATGGAAAATGTAATAGGGAGGCGAGTTCAGTGCCTTTTAATACTCGTAGATTATGTTTTTATTAAGACATGAGGAAAACATCCAACGAAGAATTTTACGAGACAACAGTGATCCGTTTCAGCTGGGTGAAATTGATTTTCAAAAAAATTTTCGTTTATCAAGAGAATCTGAATGTACAAATGGTAAGGACTAACAGCAGCACGTTTCAATGAAAATTTGTTTAACATGCAGATTTGTTATGAGAACATAAAAATCCTGAATTGTAATGCACGGTTTCCGGGATCTACTCACGACTCTGCAATATGGGGTATGAATGCAGTGAAAAGGCACCTGGAAGAAAAGTATTTAACCAATGAGTTACATTCATCTTGGTTAATTGGTTAGTGTGGCTGTTGTGACCTAATAATTTTACCCTTTTACAAATTTGTATAGGTGATTCAGGATATGCACTGCAGCCATGGTTGTTAACGCCAATGGAAAATGTAGTCCACACATTCACCACAGAGAAGATACACACAACACATTTTAGCCAAAAATGTAATAATAGAACGCTGTTTTGGAATTTTGAAGCAAAGGTTTAGATGCCTCTTGAAGCACAGAGTTCTTCATTGCTCCCCTGACAGATCTGCGAAAATTGTGTTGTGCTGTGCTATACTCCATAATATAGCGATACAGCAGAACTTACCACCACCCGAGGATAATGAAGGTGATGTAGATATACCTCCACAGAATATGAGAGGAAATGAAGGTATTTGTACCTAATCATCTAAAAAAAAACAAATTGTTGTATGGCCTCTTATTATTCTTTTCGACATTCGCCACGTCGTGAAAAAACAACTAGGTAGGTACACTTGCAATTAATAACAATTTTAAAGAAACGTCTGCATTTCCAAATCTGGCGGGTATTTGTTTTAAGATAAAGCGCGCACCGCAATGCCCTCTTATATTTTATCGCTGTGGTATTTCACTCTTACACGCACTACCGTTGCGCAGCGTTCCTTGTCTTCTAGAATGCGACACTTTTTTCCGAAATAGCCACTGCGAGATACCGGACAACGTAACGATACCGTTAAAATATTGATACAGCATATCGCGTTTATCGATAGTCGTTGTGGTCATCATAACCGTTGATCGTTAAACTGCGATAACGATTGATCGTATAGAATAACGAGAGTGATACAGCATAGGGTTGATTGTTTATTCATAGGTATTGCAAACAAAACAAACGCTTGCCCGTAGGCGCGTTTTAAGCGCGGTTTAGACGCTACGATAAATTGTTACAATTTATCGTAACGATCGAATCGTTACGATTTATCGTTGCGTGTGAACAGAGGATTGTAGCAATTTATCGGAATTGGAATTGGATTGGATGGTTGATGGCGGCCGGCTTCAATTTCTGCGAATCGTAGCGCTAAATTGGAACGTGTAAACAATAACAGCGATTTATCGCTACGATTTGTGATTAATGTTGCCGACGTGAACCATTTTTGTATCGTATCCATTTGGGCTACTTGGACTGTCTCTAGCGCACACGTTTTACATTTGGCGAGTGGCTATCAAGTTTGGCCACCAAAAAAAAATATTTAGCGACACATGGCTAGTCAGAAATCATAATCGAGATTAAGATTCTATTGTAAGCAAGCAATGTAAGCAATAAAGTGCGAGTATAATTTATATTAGTGGACAGAACCAAAAGACAAGTTGAAAAGTAAAAAAATAAAAACGGTATTAAACCGTGATCGACAATGAGATTGGAACAAGAAATCGTTACATGTAAACAGTGCGCACTTTTTCGATTTATTGAACGATAAATTGGACAATCAGATCGTTACGATTTATCGAAGCCAAGATCGTAGCGTCTAAACCGCGCTTTAAGTAAATTCATATTCAAAGCGCTTGCGGTTGCGCGTTGCTGAGGGAGTCACGGTACAATAGATATTCATGTCTAATTGGCTGTTGGTCTTCAGTTGGTTGTAATTCGTTAATCTCAAAATAACATTATCTTGGTAAGTTCATTATTGGATTAATAAAGTAAAATCGATCAAATTTACAGAAACGGACGTACCAATGCAGAAAAAATAACTGTTCTATTAACGGAAAGATACAAATTCAAGAACTACAATTGTTGAAATTAATGGTTACATTGGACTGACCGCTGTTGTTTACAGTTACAATCAGGCCTTGTTTGGTCTGCTCAGTAGAAAAGTTGATTTCGTGAGTAATAGACGCAACAGGAAAGGTTATTCGGGAGCAACTTGGAATGGAAGCATTAGGCTGTTCATCTCCCGTGACACTTGTGGATAACGACAAAATTCGCGCTATTCTCTCTTGGCCATGAAGAGACTGGTCAACATAGCCACCCGCAACCGATGCAGATTTCCACCCTCCCAATTGCTTTAATTGAAGAGTGTCTCCACCTGCATTTGCTAACAGAGTTGCCACTGTTCGACGAAAACAATGCCCCGTGAATTTATCCACGTCCTTCAATTTCAGAAATGATGCAATTTTTGCCAAAGTTGTACTGTAATGAAAGTGGCTTTGTATGAACGTGTATCACTAGAAAGCATAATTTAATTAAATGTTTACGTCTTTGTCAAATATGTATTGTAGTTTTATTTAATAGCTACTTTCTGTGGTAAATAATCAAAACGTGCTTCATTCAAAAATCTCTACTTGATCCTGGCCAAAAACCTCCGACTTCTTTGGCTTGTATCCAACGTTTTGCGCCTTAATGAAGGCGATCATCAGATTTAGTGATGTCTACGCTCTTATTTAAATTTAAAGTTGAGCTGGCAGTATACTTTTTGAAACTGTCTCTGCAACTTCTCGTAACTCAGGGGGGGTACTTATAATCTCCTCTGAATCAGACATTTTCAATTTTAAATTCAAATTTTCGTAAAAGTACGGCCGCGTAAAATGAAACAATTGACGGATGTTTGACAATTGTACGAACTGTGTGACATTTTTCCGCTAATGAGAATAAAATGCAAAATTTAAACAATTTATTTAACCTTTTTGTAATTTCTTACGATTGTGAATAAAATAGTATACGAACCTCGCGCGAAAGATTATTTCTCTCAGAATAAAAATAATGTAAAATACTATTACATTACTAGCCAGGTAAGTGAGTTTTTACTAGAGCCAGTAAAAACTATTACCTGGCGTATAATGTACAATATTTTATTTGTTACTCATTTGTAAACGTAAAATTAGTTCTTAAATTAATCTTGAAGAAATGTCTAAAATATCATGTTATCTATGTAACAGAGACTTCGCATTAATTCTGGCCAATGAAATTACTAGATTACTAACTTGTAAAATTTTTACAGGTCTGCTGTCAGTTTTACAAGTCAGTAGCGTTTTGTCTTGTTAATCAACGTTTACAACTGAGTAACAAATAAAATTTTTGTCACTTGGGTTTATGAACCCAGTAAATTTTGAATCCTTGGTTAATTTGAATAAACCGAGTAGCAGTATTAAAATAAAGCAATTACGTTTGCTTTAAAATCTAGTTATTTTGGTCTTCTGAAGTAATTTTCAGTGGCGAATAGTGAGGCGCCTCACTATCTCTTTATTCTGATAAGTAGTAGCCCCTGAAATTGTGAGGTACATATTGGGCAACCAGGTGAGTTGAACAGCAATTATTTTTGGCACCCAATATTGCGGGGAAATATTTCAGCCTGGTTCTAAAGGGGAATTTATTTGAGAGCTTAACGGGAAGATATTTGCGGTTGTGTGAGAATTGAGGGTAGAGTAGAGAAGAGTGGAATTGTAACGTTGTCAAGTGAAGAGGAGTAGAGAGTGTAGAAAGTGGTGGAAGGTTCATTTGACAGCGTTAGGGTGAACGAATGAATGCAAGTCTGAAAATGATCATGGAAATAAGTAGTAAGAAAGTTGATATGAGGATGGAGAGTAATCAGAAATTTGAGAGGATAGAGTTGATGAGGAGATCGTTTAAGGATGAAATGAATAGTATAAAAGAAGAACAGGTTAGTTTTTAAGCGGTAGTAATTAAAAGAAAATATAGTAGTGTGAGGTGTTGAATGTACAGAGGACGAAAGTTATCCCGGGAAAGTAGATGGAAGGTGTTTGATGAACATCAATTCTTTTGGATAGACTTAATTTAGGTGTTGTTGGGAAAAAATAGGGTTTAATTTTAAATGAATGAGAGTGTTTTGCTCAATAGGTAGGTAGATACGTATATTGTTTTAATTGCAAAAGAAACAAGGTGCTAATAATAAGCAGGGAAAACTAGTAGATATATACTACCATTTCAACTAACAGCGTCTGATGACTATTATAAGTATTGTATGAGTATTAGTATATTATACTAAGCAATTGGTAAGGGGTAAACAATTTTGAAGTACCAATTAACGACATACGCTACGGTTCCTTTCCAAACTGCTCTCAAAATTAGCTTCCACCTTCCCTCGGGTAGGAGCGGTGGAAAATTTGGAGCACCAGGTCGTAGATGATATCCAAAAAAAGATTCTCCCTAAAACTGTATATTTAGTAACGTTAGCATAACAAAATTCCATATGTACTTTTTTTATTGGGCAAGGATGAAGATTACTATGGTTCAACATGTAAGGAATATCAAAATCTTTATGCGTCAGTACTTCACAGAGCGGTATATTGAACTTAACGGGTCCGGACCGATATTCGTTACTTCTGAAGAATCCAGTGTCAATGGAAAGCTACAGCAGTCATTATTTGGACGTATCAGTTCTAAATTAAAAGCCCACCTGTGCATCCTTATTCGAAATTATATCAACCTTAGAGGTGTAACTAAAATTCATGAATAGGCTGGTACGATTAGTTTTATAGCACTTGTAGGTCATATTTGCCACAATGTTTTCATTAATTTCGGTAATATCACAACGTTCATATACAAACCAGTAGAGATTTTGCTGAAACGTAATAGATAGATGCTTTAGAGGTACAGCCATTGAATAAAAACGCTATTTTATTCAATGGTACAACGTACGTGATTACCAATGAGGATGTTAAATAAAAGTGCATAAAAGAAAGTAGAAGTAACACTTTCAAATTTCCCATTTTTTAAAATACGCACAGGCACAGGAATTTGTCCTTTTTTCTACACATTACACCAACATTTGAAACTGTAATTATTTAGCAGTAAAGATTATTGATGTGATTAGATTCGAGGGCCAAAAAAGCTCAAGGGTATTACTATTATATTTCAAAATATACGCAGTAATCACATAGTGATCAGTGGCTCATTAGATTATTACTATATTACATTACCTACTTATATATTATTTAAAAATGTAACTCAGTAATCTTACAGATATCATCTCAGTTGAACTTGCAAGATAAGCTAAGTACCTATACTAATAATAACAATATATTCAATGTGCCTTTACGTTAAAAATAATGTGTACCAGCGTCATAAAAACAGAACAATACATGAATACGTTCGGTCATTGACAAAAGTAATGATCGCCTAATAGGTAAATTCTGCAGCAGAAGCATCAAGAGGCCTATCACATCGGCTACGTCGGTTTCTTCAAGGAGGGCATACCGTTTTTGGTTCGCATTTCCAAGTTGCACAATATATTCAAATGTTGCTTGATTATGCTGCAGAATTTACCAATTCGGCGATCATTACTTTTGTTAAAGGCTGTACCTACAAATACAAATAATAAAATGTAACTTCAATCTTTAGTATTGTACAAGGGGGTTTCATTAAAAAAACTTTTATTTTGTTCCTTAGCGATAGAAATCTGACCAGGCAAGTTGTTATAATAAAACACGGCTCCCAGTAATTATGTCTCGAGTTATGTGCAGCTTGCTACTTTTTAAATCTAAGTTGCCATGTAGTATGTCTGGATGGGCTACATAATTTCATATATATTATTTATGAACATACCTCGGAACCAGTGAACTATAATTAAACTGGAACGTGCACTGCTGGTCTCTGCCATAGAAACGTAGCGCGCCGAGAGAAATAGTGCAAGGGCTTTAAGGGTACCGCTCACTAGAGCGATGTTTTGATCAAAATCCACGTGGTCGCCAAAATAAATAAAATTCATGTCTTGGTCATTGAGATAAAGCTCTTGGTCTTTTTCCCAACGATCTTGGTGCATAAATAACGATTTTGACATGTTTTGATCAAAATCCATGTAGTCGCCAAAAATAGATCAAATTCATGTTTTGGTCAATGAGATAATGCTCTTGGTCTTTTTCCCAACGATCTTGGTGCATAAATAACGATTTTGACATGTTTTGATCAAAATCCATGTGGTCGCCAAAAACAGATCAAATTCACGTTAAGGTCATTGAGATAATGCTCTTGGTCTTTTTCCTAACGATCTTGGTGCATAAATAACAATTTTGACATGTTTTGATCAAAATCCATTATGGCCTCAAAATACCAATAGTTATTTGTACTAGTTTTGAAAGGGATACTTTTTTTCATGAATTTGCAGTTTGATTAGGTACGTATGTTCGCTCCGATAACCCCCAAGCGAATTCCGATTTCTTTATCAAGAAATGATCCTCTTTCTTCAATCTTAATGATAAATCACGCCCCACTATGGAAATGATTAAAACAGGCGCAGGAATTTGATCCTGTAATTGGATGATCAAAATTGCTTATTCAAAAATTCAAGCCTAATTCGGGGCCAACAAAAGTCTGAGCAGCGATTCTGCTGATTCGTAATTTGTAACCTAACCTCCCATTAGTGAAGAATGAAGTTTCCTGTAGTTCTGACCGATATGCCAAATTAAATCTCGACGAACTCCAATCGACAAAATAAAGAAATGAACCTGATTTAATGAATTATTTGTTTGGCTGACTAGATGTGAACTTGGAACTAGAATGAACCTTTAGACATTAATTTCCGCATTCTCGAACGAAACAAACCGAACAAATTCAACGCATCAGAATCGCTCCTGTTACAGGTGCTAAGAATGTTGTACCTACTAAGGAGAAAAATAAAAAGGAAATTCCGAGCGCGTTTCTTCCGAATTAGTGTAGAGCAGTTACAACATAGTTATAGTCCAGTCAAATTAGCTCTAAAAGTAGTATAAACTGGATGTTGTCATTTCACTGAACGAAACCAAGCGCTTCCTATGTAAAAAAAAATTCTGAATCCGAAAATCATAGTCCCCCTGGCCGAAAACGCTCGGAACATATTGTTATAAACAAACAACGAAGAAAAAATGGGAAAATGTCGTGTTTTTTCACATTTGACTTCGAATATCTCGTTAACTATTGCTCGGAGGGAAAAAATGAATAGAAATGAACTTGTTTAGAATAAAATTTTCTATAAGATACAGTTGGTCCGGAACGCTCATTTTCAATTGATATTGTTTTTTAGGGAAAAATGTAAAAACAGTAATCTCTAAAATTAACACTTTGTGATTACTAAGTAAAATTCATTCGATCTTTTTGAAAATCCGTATTTAGTAACTACTTTTGATAACAAAACAATATGACAAACCAGATCACCGTGGGTTTCATACTCATTGATTAATTAAATAAACAAGTAGAAAAAGAGATGCTTTGTCTTTCAAACTGGGGGAGTACAAGAGTGTTCTCAATTTTTTTATACATTATAACCCTAAAACAATCTTTTCCAATAATTGTCCCGATGATTCCTGCAAATCGACGGACTGTGCAATTTTTTTTCAAAATCCGAAGAATTTTCTTAGTTGACAAATGGAATGACTCCTGAAATATAACAAAAAATATAACTCTATAATAGGCGAATGTAAAGCTCTCGAAAAGCCGTACATTAAAAAACAAGTTAAAAAGTAATCGTAAACGATTTACATAAAGCGCATTTCCACTTGCATTCATTTCCCATTTGTAAGATGCAACTTCTGTTAAAATCGTAAAAATCCGGCCACAAATATGAAAGATAGCGTTGCACATGGGCAATCCATTTTTGACGTGCTACTTCAATTTCAGTTTATGAGAAGAATTTCATTTCAATGCTTTTCTAAATAAGAAAGTTGGAACTGCGCATGCGCAAACCTAAATTTTGAAACTAATGTTAGATTTTCCTTTGTTCCAAGCGCCTAACTATCAAATTTCACTTAAATGCTTCCATAGATAAAAAAGTTAGCACTGCGCATGCGCAAAATAAAATTTTGAAACTGGCGCTAGATTTTCCTTTATCCCAAGTGCCTATGTATCAAATTTCGTTTAAATTCTTCCATAAATAAAAAAGTTGGCACTGCGCATGCGCAAAACCAAATTTTGAAATTGGCGGTTGATTTTCCTTTATTCCAAGTGCCTATGTATCAAATTTCATTCAAATACTTTTATAAGTAAAAAAGTTTGCAATTCGGTTTATAAATGGTCGAGATGCGAAAAGGGCACTGTGAATTTTGAATCGATTCGATTCAACTTTTGGCATTGCGTATTATATGGCTAAAGCTATGCCCATATTGAATTTCATGCAATTCAGTTCATAACTAACGGAGATGTAAAAGCGATCGAACATTTCTAAACAAAGTTATCGTTCACACGGACAGATAGATGGACAGACAGACAAAGGAACAGACGGAGAGACCAACCGGCAGGCGACAGATAGCAATGCAAAATTATAAACGATCTCTAGGATCGTTAATAAACGGCAAAAGTGTAAAATTATGGAACATGTAAAAAACGGTTTTTTGTTTTTTTTACAATAACTTTTTTTGTAAGCGGTACAGAAAAAATTCCTTCCTTGGTACAAGACTCGACACCATAACGAACCAAATAGCGAAAAAAGTAGAACAATAGCTCTTAAGATAAAGAACTAGTAGCGTCGCAAAAAACGAGAGACGGACGGACGGACGGACGGACGGACGGACGGACAAAGTGGCCACAATAGCGCATTTTTTTTTATTTTTGTGGAAATGCGCTAAAAATACGTCTCAATCCGATTAATAGTTCACGAGAAATCAGCTTTTGCCTTTGAAGCCAGTTTTCGAAACAACCAAAAATGATTTTGCAAATCGGGTCGCACCGACCTTTACAGCGTGAACGTTTTTCATGCTTCTATTTCACCGAAATGAATGATTTTTATTAATTCGAGTGCCAAGGTTACTTTTCTTGATAAATCTCTGAAGCTATTCGATTTGTTAGTTAACTAAAACAAGTTAAAAAGTAATCGTAAACGATTTACATAAAGCGCATTTCCACTTGCATTCATTTCCCATTTGTAAGATGCAACTTCTGTTAAAATCGTAAAAATCCGGCCACAAATATGAAAGATAGCGTTGCACATGGGCAATCCATTGTTGACGTGCTACTTCAATTTCAGTTTATGAGAAGAATTTCATTTCAATGCTTTTCTAAATAAGAAAGTTGGAACTGCGCATGCGCAAACCTAAATTTTAAAACTAATTTACTATAACTAACTAATAAACTAAGATTTTCCTTTGTTCCAAGCGCCTATGTATCAAATTTCGTTTAAATTCTTCCATAGATAAAAAAGTTGGCACGGCGCATGCGCAAAATAAAATTTTGAAACTGGCGCTAGATTTTCCTTTATTCCAAGTGCCTATGTATCACATTTCATTTAAATTCTTCCATAAATAAAAAAGTTGGCACTGCGCATGCGCAAAACCAAATTTTGAAATTGGCGTTTGATTTTCCTTTATCCCAAGTGCCTATGTATCAAATTTCGTTTAAATTCTTCCATAAATAAAAAAGTTGGCACTGCGCATGCGCAAAACCAAATTTTGAAATTGGCGTTTGATTTTCCTTTATCCCAAGTGCCTATGTATCAAATTTCATTCAAATACTTTTATAAGTAAAAAAGTTTGCAATTCGGTTTATAAATGGTCGAGATGCGAAAAGGGCACTGTGAATTTTGAATCGATTCGATCCAACTTTTGGCATTGCGTATTATATGGCTAAATCTATGCCCATATTGAATTTCATGCAATTCAGTTCATAACTAACGGAGATGTAAAAGCGATCGAACATTTCTAAACAAAGTTATCGTTCACACGGACAGATAGATGGACAGACAGACAAAGGAACAGACGGAGAGACCAACCGGCAGGCGACAGATAGCAATGCAAAATTATAAACGATCTCTAGGATCGTTAATAAACGGCAAAAGTGTAAA